AACTCATTATAATTCAATAAAGTATTCGAAATATAAAAAAAATAAAAACGACCCAACCGGCACCACGGGTTAAAATTTAAACCGCTACAATTATTGATATATCATGAAAACTAATAATATTATAATCATTATTATTACATACACGAAGAAAATACAATTTTATTTATGAAATGAAACAAGTCCGGAGTAATTCGACCTTCGGAATCGACTGATATGTACAATYGAATATTATATTCAGAAAAACGAACTGTTGACAAAATCGGAATTCCATTATCGTGTAAAATTAGCTGAAAAACCTATAAATATGTCTTGTAWTATTTTTAAATTAGTTTAATATTAGTAACCATGTGTATATTAATAGTACACGGAAAATAATATCCATTTATAGTATTAGAATAAAATACGTTTAGAGGTGGGTTATTTTTYGTACCGCCGTGCTGGATCGGTCGACATTTTGGTGGGATAAACGTTATCCCACCGTGCCGGAAAGAGTTAAAATGTAAACTTGTTAGGTACATTTCTGAATGGAGAAATTAATGCATGTTTTATAGTAGAAAAAAATGCTTAAGAGGACGCTACACCTGCGTGTGTTGTCTATGTATTATATACTATCTACATACTATTGTAATTATTATAATATGATTAAAAGATTACAATAAAAGTAAAATTTTTGGCAAAAATTAAATCAATCAAACCTAAAAGCGTCCTTTAAAATATTAAAATTAATTATAACTCTTATATATATATATATATATATACATTTTCCATACATATTCTTTATAATATTAGTCAGTTAATTTTAAGTCAAAATAAAGAATAACCTCAAAAACACCTGATTCAAATATGGTTTCAAAAATAAATACTGAACTAAAACTAGTTTAACTGTGTACAGCATTACTAGAGTTCAATATTTTAAATGTGCATTAGATTATACCCTAGCTCACAGGTGCCCAAACTTTTTATAATATGACCCATTTTGGGAAATTTTTTACAAAATCTAAAAATTTAATGTTATCAGAATAAACTATCACAATGTATATTTGAACATAATATACAATAATTTTACCTCACAAAGCTTTTGAAGTTGTATCGCATAACTAGTAGCTTTTCTTAATCTAGACACCAAATGAAATTTTTTTCTTGGTTCTGTATTAGCTTCAACTCTTAATTGCATTGCATAACTCCATGCTCTTTCAGCTAACATCAATGGTATGTATACAGCTCTAAATTATACACAAGGTAATTATAAAGTTATTGACTATTTTTATAGATATGAATTTTATACCTTTCATCTGTCAGATTGGATTCGGTAACATTTTTCTTACGAAAATGTCTTCGATCTCCCTGTTGTAAATGCATTACTTTTCGTAAACGTCTAATACGCCGGGTGCAATAACCTCTACAAATTAAAAATGAATAATTGAGTATTTTTTTAAATGCTAAAAAGATATTATTGTTTAACATTTTTAACATCTACCTATATCTTTGATAATCATTGTGTCTTAAGCCATGCTGCTGTTGGGCTTCCTTAATAATCTTTAATACTGTTAGGATATTATTAAGGAATATTTTAATTAAATATAAGTATTGAGTTTTTTTTTAAATTTCATTAAACTTAATATTAACTCAATTTGTTCAATGTATTATAATAGATGGATAACTGCTGTTAGCCGTTAGGTATATAATACAACCAAATAAAAACGTATCTTACACACAATTCTAGTTGTATAACCAAATTAGTTTTTAGCCATACATAGGTCATATTATTATAAGTTATACAATTTAATCAATAGCACATGATGAGGTACAGTGGAAGCAACAGTGGATCTGAATGTTTTCAAAAAAACAAAAATAAAAGTATTTATAAATACAAATCAAGTATAAAAATCGCTTTATCATATTATATTACAAATAGTTCGTAGATTAATTAGTATGACATTTTGCATAAAATCCTTTTCACAAGTTATTATTATTGACCATTGCCATACACAAGGCGTAAAGATAAACTGTTATAATATAGAAAGGATACTTTCAACTGAAAATATGGGAATTTTCTTTTCTTCATTTTCCGGTGCATTCTCTTTGTTGTTCTCGTTGGTGACAATTTGGTTAGACATTGTGCCTGACATTACTGTCTACTTGTTCCGGAAAAAAAAAATTATAATGAACTTGTAATAACAGTTATTATTATTATCATTTATTTATTTG